ACGCAGGCCGGGCTGGGGAGGCGGCGGGCCCGGGAAGCGGCGCAGACGCGGCGCCTGCTGAGCGGGACTGAGCAGCAGGCCCGAGTGGGCGAGCAGCTGCTTCGCCATGAACCCCAGGGGCCTGTTCCAGGACTTCAACCCGAGTAAGTTCCTCATCTACGCCTGCCTGTTGCTCTTCTCCGTGCTGCTGCCCCTCCGCCTGGACGGCATCATCCAGTGGAGCTACTGGGCTGTCTTCGCCCCTATATGGCTGTGGAAGCTCCTGGTCATCGCCGGCGCCTCGGTGGGCGCGGGCGTTTGGGCCCGAAACCCTCGCTACCGCACAGAGGGGGAAGCCTGCGTGGAGTTCAAAGCCATGTTGATCGCCGTGGGCATCCATCTGCTGCTGCTCATGTTCGAAGTCCTGGTCTGCGACAGAGTGGAGAGGGGGACCCACTTCTGGCTGCTGGTTTTCATGCCGCTCTTCTTCGTATCCCCCGTATCCGTGGCCGCCTGCGTGTGGGGCTTCCGACACGACCGGTCCCTCGAGCTGGAGATCCTGTGCTCTGTCAACATCCTGCAGTTCATCTTCATCGCCCTGAGGCTGGACAGGATCATCCAGTGGCCGTGGCTGGTGGTGTTTGTGCCGCTGTGGATCCTCATGTCGTTCCTCTGCGTGGTGGTCCTCTATTACATCGTCTGGTCCCTCCTGTTCCTGCGCTCCCTGGATGTGGTTGCCGAGCAGCGACGAACACACGTGACCATGGCCATCAGCTGGATCACGATTGTCGTGCCCCTGCTCACTTTTGAGGTTCTGCTGGTTCACAGGTTGGACGGCCACAACACATTCTCCTACATCTCCATATTTGTCCCCCTTTGGCTCTCATTAATCACTTTAATGGCCACGACATTTAGGCGAAAAGGAGGCAACCACTGGTGGTTTGGTATTCGCAGAGATTTCTGTCAGTTTCTGCTTGAAATTTTCCCATTTTTACGAGAGTACGGGAACATTTCATACGATCTCCATCACGAAGATAGTGAAGATGCTGAAGAAACGTCACTTCCAGAAGCTCCTAAAATTGCTCCAATGTTTGGAAAGAAGGCCAGGGTAGTGATAACCCAGAGCCCTGGAAAATACGTTCCCCCACCTCCCAAGTTAAATATTGATATGCCAGATTAAACTCGTCTTCTTGGGAGTGCTCACAAGTGGACTAGAAACCACACACACACACACACAAAATCCACCTTACTATGGCCTCTTTTGCTCATCCATCCCAAACCTGGAACTGAAATCAGGCTCCAAACGTCATTTCATGCCTTGTTTGAGATTGATGCCTGTCAGTGACTCCTCAGTATTCACCATAGATGTAGGAGGTTATTTTAATATATGGCCGTGTGTGCGTGTGCTGTGTGCCCATGTGTGAGGAACTTGTTTTCCAGGCTGCTGTTTGAATAGCTGACTTAGAGCAGTCAATTGAATTGTTTTAGCAGGTCCTCAAACTACACAGCTGGGGATTTGTAAAGTGGTACCATACCTATCAAAAGTATTGTTTTGAAAAGTATTTTTATACACTGCTAGCTTAAAATTGTATTTCAAACTGTGCCTGTTGTGACATAATCAACAGCAAGTGTTAAGAATTCTCTCTCCCACCACTTGCTTATAAAGCTCATAGTTGTTATTTTTGGTGTTCCTACTGTTAAAATAGTTTTTCTTTGGGCTTTACTGATGCTGGTCTTTAATAGCATAATAGATGAATTTTTCTAATGCAGTGAATCCATATTTATATGAAAATTTAGCAATATAATATATTATGTTGAATTCTAGTTCTGTGCAGTACAGTGTATTATGTTAAAGTATTTTTTTAAGTTTACATGTGAAAATATATGTCTATTGCAGATGTTGTTAAAGACTGCTTAAAACATGAATGTGTACCTAGTGTGGGATCTTATCAAAGTTCCAGGCATGAATACAGGGATTGTAAGTCCCAAGGATCTTAATATTCAGGTGTTAGATGACTCAGTCTGCACAGTTTTCAGGTCTCTCTTGGAAGGAGCCACCATCCTTTGGGAACAGATGACAGGCTCCAGTGTGGTTCCAGACCATAGAGTGACACTGGTATTTAGCACCTTGAATTTTTCCACACAGGCAATGATATCTCTTCAGGAACAAGCAAAATAAGCAACGAGTGGTTTGTCCATTTCTAAGATGCTTAAAATCTTAGGTGGCCATAATATAAAGTGGGGTTTATACTTACCAATGGAAAACTGGAGAGTGGCCTTTACCAAAAATGGTTGACAGGATCGAATATTATTTTAAGGTCCAAACTTCTTGACCTGGCAGCAACAGGGAAATAATAGTTCAGATTATTTTTTAAATAAGTACAGCTTTGCTTTAGGTAACTGGTGGTACGCCAGGGAATCACAAGGGCAAAAACCAGGTCCCGGGAAAGTCATGGTCTTATGACAGAGAACAAATAAATACTTTCAAAAGGAGGTTAAAACTAAAAGGAGTATTACTGTAGTATGACATTATTACTAAGGAGAAGACTGGAGGGAATCCATTTCTGTTATTAGCCACCTAGTAAAAATGATCTCGGCTGGGCTCCAAATGAATTAAGTAAATTTCCAGCGAGAGGACATGCTAGCAACAACAGCCAGCCCTTGGGAACCTGGGTCCCCAAAAGCCTGAAGATGCCACAGCTCAGCTTAGTCACCTAGAACTGAACCACGGTCACACGGACACAGTTGATTTATGCCAGCCGTCAGAATGTGGGACACAGCCCCCAGCAGCAGTGGATGTAATATTTCATAAGAAAGGATTCATTTATTGAGGACCTACTGTGAGGCAGATGTGCTGGGAGGTGCAGATACACTGGGAAGCAACTCAAATGTGGCTCCTGCCTGCACACACAAAGCATACAAAAGTTATAGGAAAACTGCTCATCCCAGCAGCCTCCCCATGGGAGGGACCAAGCCAAGAGCAGGGTACACAGGGAAGGATGCTACTGGCCTCGGGTGACCCCCATCTGGAACTTCAGGCGCATCTTTGGCTTCAAGAGCCCTGTGCCCCCTGATTGCCCCTCCACCCCCAATTAATATCTCAGACATTGGCTTCCACTTCAGGAAGATTTAGGAGTGGAGGAGGAGGTTGCTGGAGCAATTGAAGGGGAGGTTTGGGGGCAGCAGTGGGATCATCAGCCCCTCCTGGCTACAGTCGCAGGCTAGGGTTTTGTTGGCACCTGAAACAATCCCTCCTAACCCAGTGGGTCCCTCCCTGCACTCACCCAACCCACCCCATCTCTGCCCCAGGGTGGCCAAGTGTTGGAGAGCCAGTACCTGAATGTGATTACAAGCCTTCTCACGCAGGTAGGTCATCCCATCAGACCTCTTTCCTGCCTCAAGACCATTAGGTGAAAACATCCGAAGTGACAGGTTGTAGAAAGTTGGTCTAGACAAGTTCACACAATCTCAGCTGTGCTTGGGAGTTACATAATTGCCGGTGTAACCCTTTAACTGTCCACACTATTTAGCATGTGTCAAATTCTGTAACTCTCGAGTTTCTCCTGCAAGATGTATTAGTCAGCTTTTGCTGCAAAACAACCTCAAAAGTCTTAGCAGCCTGCAGTTACAGTTCTCACTCTGGGGCCTACGGCTCCAGGCTATGGGTGTGGTTCAGGTCCGCTCCACCCCCAGTCCCTTATTCTGTTCTGGGTCCCGGAGGAAGGAGGAGCAGTCCCTGGGGCTTGTTCTTTCTCATGGCAGAAGCACACAAGGCCAAGCCAATCCCAAAAGCACAAACAGGGCCCTGCTCATACGTGATGAGTGTCAGGTGGTTTATTCTGTTGGACAAAGCACAAGGCAAGCACGAGCTCAACGAGGTGGCGGTTCAGGCCCAGGGGATGATGACCCAGTCTGCACAGATGTTGCAAGATAGTTTTGAAGACTGCAAAGCAACCCTAAATTGTGTGGTAGAACATGAATGATTTTCCCCCTTCTGTTTTACAAACACTGTATAATTTTTTAAAGTTCATTGTTTATTATTTTAATAATTCGGAGGGGATTTGGGGAGGGGTGGTAAGAGAGACAGATTTGAGGTGAGATAAGGAAGGCCCTGCATTCAGAGCCCTCTTAAACTTGAGAGTCCTGGAGGGTCTGCACAGGATGGTTTTATGAGCGTCCTGTACTCGGGGTTTCTCCAGGGCTGTGCGGGATGCCTTGGAAGGGTCTAGCCTGGGCACTGGGAGACCAGCCAGGCAGGAGGTGCTGGGAAATGAGGAAGAAGTGGAGTCTGGACCAGCCGAGCCGGCACACCAGGTAAAGGACCAAGCAGACCCTCCGGGCCAGGCCTCCCCTGGGTTCTGGATGAGAAACCGGCACGTCTGACTCAGCAGGGGAAGCTGTCTAGGGGGCACAGGTAACTTGCACAATGCCAGGAAGGCTGGCGCCCAGCTCAGCAAGCGTGTAGGGACCAGGGGAAGTTGTGCTGCCAGAAACCCAAGCTAGTTAGTCCTTCAGGGACCATTTGTTGAGGATGCTGCTACTGGTAACCCACCGCTGGCCTCAAGACACTGCCACCAAAATAACAAACGCCACCAGTGTCCCTGCTGCCAAGAGTAATCCTTCAACTGTCTCTGCCATGAGCTCGATTAAAGTACCAGGAGGGAGTGTGGAACTGAGCAAACCTCAGGCACGCATTTGCTCTGCAGCTTCCAGAAGGTGAGAGGAGAGATTACCTGGTTTCTTTAGTGTGAGTAGGAGGGGACAGGACTTTGCCAAAACTTACTCAGTGGAGGCTTTGCCTCCCTCAGAAAAGGAAGGGTGTTCAGATGCTGGGTAACCAAAGCTAACGATGAAAGCGCCCCCCTGGCTGGCAGACGGACGTCCCTCTCCCGAGCTTTCACTTCAGAACCAGCTCTCCCATCTGGCAGGACACCACTGACCTCACAGCCAGACAGTGGCTCTCCCCTTCCCAAAGGGAGGAGGAAGACAAGGCAGAGCTGCTTCATCATTCCTTCACGCACCTCTTAACCTAGGGCATTCAGAGGCGTCTCTGCCTCCTCCCGTTGCATCATGTTCTCTCCGTATATTCTAGAATGTGTGGATTAAAGTTAACCACAACACGCCCCCTGCGGGTCCACAAGTGCCTCCCTTTCCCAACGACACCTCTGGGGGAAGCAGATTCTTCCCACAGTCCTCACCCTGCAGAAGAGGAGACGCAGAAGCAGGGACCAGAGTGCAGCTGCCTGCTGTTAAGCCGGACTGTGAAGTTTTGCAAAAATGCAAAAGCAGTGTCACTTGCCTCCTCACCAGATTTCTTTTGTTTTGGAAAATATGGTTATTTGTCATTAAAAAAAAAAAGTTAACATGTAATGGATTTATTGTTTTAAATGAATTAATAAATATTTTTTTAAAGTAATAGGTTTTCATTTCTACCATGGTAATTGTTGCCACAACTCACATGAACAAAAGCGCCTTGGGGTCCTCAACAATTTTTAACTGTTGAAGGGGTCCTGTGACCCAAAACTCTGAGACCTGCTGCCCTATGTTATAGCCAGGGGAAGAGAGGGGAAAGAAAATTAAAATTGGGTGAAATAACCTAAAGATGATCATACTAAGTGAAGTAAGTCAGACAGAAAAAGACAAATACCATCTGATATCACTTGCATGTGGGATCTAAAAAAATGACACAAATGAACTTCTTTACAAAACAGAATTGGGCTCACAGACATAGAAGACAAACTTACGGTTACCGGAGGGGAATGCGGGGAGGAGGGATAAATTAGGAGTCTCGGATTAGCAGATACACACTTACTACAGACAGAATAGAAAGCAAGGTCCTACTGTATGGCACAGGGAACTATATTCAGAATCTTCTAAAAACCTATAATGAAAAACAATATAAAAAACAATATGTATATTATATACGTATAGGTACAACTGAATCACTCTGCTGTACACCAGAAACTGACAAAACTGGGTGAAATATATTAAAATCCATGCGCCATTGCAGGGAAGGGGAAATAACAGGTACTGTCCGTCCCTCATAGATCATAGGACGCTTTCTCTACCCTGTGACCCTCTGCGATTCCATTGTCCTCCACCGGCATCTCGGCTGGTTGGGTTACGTAACCCAGTGGGTAATTCCTACCTTTGTTTCTGGAGGGCCTGAGCCCTTTGCTGGTCCTGCTGGGTTTTCACTTAATTTCACCCAGAACTAAGGGGCCTGGGGGAGCTCTTGGGTTCTGATCCTCAGCGGCTCTTCTTTTGGGGCAGCAACACTATTTCCCCTAGAAAGCCCATCGCAAGGGCGGCTGTGTTGGCTGGGGCGGGTGACCCTGACTACCAAGGGGAAGTAGGGATGGAAGTCCTTCCCCTGGAGTTCACCGGCCACCTCCTCTCTGTGTTCTCAGGGTGTCCTGATGGTTAAATAGCTTACTAAAGGGCGGGGGAGGGGAAATGGGTTTGGAAAGCTCCCTCCACCACCGCAGCTCAGAGCAGTCGGGCCCCCCTCCCCAGCCCCTCTGCTTCTGCCCTGCCCCTGCCTGTCACCCTCCTCTTGCTGAGTCCAGCCAGACACCCTGTGCAGAATCTGGGACCACGAGGTCCACCACATCTCTTGTCCCACCCCACACCTCTGCTGGTCCCCTCACAGCCCTGTCACAGGAGCCCCGCCTCCTGGACAAGTGCCTCCATGCCCCCCCCAACAAGTGTCACCAGCCCTCCTTCCTCTTCACATCACAGCCCTCCTCCATCCATCCTCAGCTTGTCCTGAGCAGGTCTCTGGAGCTGAAATATGACTGGTCAGACATGGCTGAAGTTTCACCCTGTGGCCACTCTGGCCTTCTGACCCAGCCCTTCCAGGCATTAACTAAGGGCAGTGAGCAGAGTGAGCATCTCAAAGACTCTTCCACCAGCCTGAGACCTTTCCCGGAAGCCTGTCCCTGCCACATATCAGGTGACTGTCCACCAGTGAGAGCAGAATCTGGACCTCCTCCTGTCTGTGGCAATTGCCCGAGGCCACGACTGCTGTCCAGCCAGGGCTGCCCCTGCCCCATGCCCCAGGCTGCCCTGCCACTGCCCCCACACCCCACCTCCCACATACCCAGCATGTTGAATGACAGGACTCTGTCTTGGGGGGGCAGGGCTTGCTGTACTGGTGGTTAAATAGTCTGAGCATCACTTAAGGCCTTTTCTTTACTCAAGGCCTGACTTGCCCCTCACTGTTCCAGCTCTGCTTAGCCTCCCACTCCGTCCTTGGTCCCTGACAGGCTCTTGACCCCTTGCACAGGACAGCTAAGCCTGGTCTCCTGGCTGACCCCTAGGACCAGGCCAGATTCTTCCCCCAGATGAGGGGTGCAGGGTTCTGAAACATCAGGCCCAACTTCTAATTGCTGGGAGATTGGGGCCGCAGCCACCTAGACCCAAGTCTCAACCTCAGGAGGCCAAACAGGGCCAGAACATCCAGTCAGGGGCAGCTGAGGTGGCCTCTGAATGGCCACCATCCTCCACAGAGGCTCTGGGCAGTAGTCATGTGTGGGGAGGCACAGCCTTGCTCAAGAGGTCTGCTCGAGATGTCCCGGAGACACTGCCGCCCCTGCTGGGGCACCCTGGCAGGTAAGAAGGGGGCATTTCAGAGCAGGCCAGCAGGTCACCCAGTGTGCCCCTCATGGCCTGGGCCAGCCCGGGGATCCATGGGAGGGAAAAGCCCAGAAAGGAAGAAGGTACAGGCGCCTCCCTGAGGAAGATGGCATGCCCCCGCACACTAGGGCAAGTGGCAGTCAGCCATGTGCCCAAAATACACAGCCTAAGCCCAGGCCACCATAACAAATACTATAAACTGGGTGACTTCACAACAGCTGGGTGATGGAAACAACCCCCATTTATTTCTCACACTTCTGGAGGCTGGAAGTCTGAGATCAGGGTCCTGCGCTGTCAGATTCTGGTGAAGGCTCCCTTCCTGACTTGCAGACAGCCCCCTTCTAAGTGTGCCTTCACATGGCAGAGAGAGAGGAAGCAAGCTCTCTAGTATCTCTTCTTACAAGGGCACTAATCCCATCATGGGGCCCCACCCTTATGACCTCATCCAAACCTAATTACTGCACAGAGCCCCCACCTCCAAATACCATCACATTGGCAGGTAGGATTTCAGCTTATGAATTTGGAGGGAGGATACAATTCAGTCTCTCACACACACTAAGCACAGAAGGCCCAAAGGCAGGGGATCAAGCCAAATACTCACTCAGCTCACATTTCCTGAGCACCTACTATGTACCAAGGGCACTTGTCGGCCATGGCCAAGCCCTCCTGGGCTCTCGGCCCACGGTGGCCTGAGGCTCCTCAGTGGCCCCCAGTGGTGGGTTCTGGCTGCCTTCCACCCCGGGGCCACTTCCCTGTCCTCCCCATCTAGAGCAGACACAGCCGGCACACGCAGGTCTGTCGCCTGTGTTTCTCAGTGGCACCCTCGCCCCAGCAGCACCAGCAGAGAGGTCAGGACAGCAGCGTGCTGAGATGGGCCGGGCCTCAGTGTGGGGACCTGGACCAGCCCCAGCAGTCCTTCCCTGCCCCCACACTCACCAAGGGGACCCTCTGCACCTCCTCTGGCTCGGGAACCATCCTGCTGAGTTTTGATGTGTTGGGCTCGGGTCCAAGGCCCACAAAGAGTGTGGGAAATTGACAGCCAGGGACCTTGAAGGGGAAGGAACAGCCGAGCCTGCCCCACAAACAAGCCCAGGAAGGAAGTCCACAGGGTCAGCCAGTCTGCTCCTGCTGCCACTGTGACTCAGGGGCTGAACTAACCTCCCTGTACTGGCCCCAACCCTCCCCTCCAGCCCGGGAGGCAGGTCAGTCCCTGGCGTGGGCGCTGGGCAGGACCCCTTCCCAGGAGGCTACCTACAGACCTGAGAAACAAGACGACTCACAGAGCCTCTCAAGCCACACCTGGGTCTCCATGTCCCTGTAAGGACCCCTGACATGTCAGTCGGAGGCTTGTGATTGCATTAAACCCCATTTTATCCTGTTCCTAGACGGCAGGCCTCTTCCCTCCTAATCCCCAAGGGGGAGATCCCTTCCTGAGAGACGCCCCACACTGACCTAGTGATTTGTGCCTTTTCTGGCTCCCCCCAAGGGTGCTCTGGGAGGGTAGGGACTGCTGCTTTGTAAAGGTGGGCTACTTAGTGAAAATTCGCTTCTTTCTTTTTCTCGATGAGTTCAGGACTTGAAGTTTCTACCAGAGCAGTTTCTGCCTCCCTTTTCTAACTGATTTTTCTGACTGCAGTGCAGATTTCTCAGTTTGGAGATTTTTAATACAATCTTGAGGTGATCTGTTATTTTATCTTCTTCAGGTAGTTTAAATGTGCTTTCTGTTTCTTTTTTCTTTCTTTTCAGCATTTTCAAATAAGAATTTAACTCAGCTGCACTGACTCATTTCTTTTTTATTTTTTAAATTGAAGTATAGTCAGTTACAATATGTCAATTTCTGGTGTACAGCATAATGTTTCAGCCATGCATATATATATATATATATATTCATTTTCATATTCTTTTTCATTAAAGGTTATTGCAAGATAGTGAATATAGTGCTATACAGAAGAAATTTGTTTTTTATCTATTTTTATATATAGTGGTTAATGTTTGCAAATCTTCAACTCCCAAATTTATCTTTTCCCACCCTCTTTCCCCTGGTAACCATAGATTGTTTACTGTGTCTGAGAGTCTGTTGTGACCTGGAGATGATCATTTTAAGTGAAGTAAGCCAGAAAGAGAAAGAAAAATACCATATGATATCACTTATATGTGGAATCTAAAAAAAAAAAAGTAAAAAGAGAATTGGAAAGTTCAAGCCATTTGCATTTAGAGCAATTACCATGAGGAAGGACTTACTTCTGCCATTTCGCTGTTTTCAGTATATCTTATATGCTTTTTGCCCTTCATTTCCTTCACTACCGCCTTCTTTTGTGTTTAGTTGATTATTTGCGTGAACCACTTTGATTCCTTTCTGATTTACTTTTTTCGCACATCTTCTTTAGATATTTTCTTTGTGATTACCATGGAGATTACACTTAATATCCTGAATTTACAACAATCTGTTTGTAATCAATACCAACTTAACTTCAATGGCATATAACACCTCTGCTCCTACACAGCTCCATCCTACCCCTCCTTTATATTGTTATTGCCACAGATTACATGCTTATACACTGGGTGCCAAATAACATTGATCTATAGCCACTTTTATACATTTGTTTTTTAAATCCTATAGGAAATGAAAAATGGAGTTCCAAACCAAAATTGCAATCATACTTGCTTTTGTATTTGCCCATGTATTCACCCTTACCAGAGGCCTTTATTCCTTGAAATGGCTTTGAGTTACT